AAAGCCATTCTCGGTTTTGTGTAGGGTTTGCAAATCACTTACAAAGACTTAACCCAATGTGCAGATGTGTTCTACTTACAGGATTTTAAAAACAGAATTCGTTCTTGGGGGCTGATAGCCTAGCTCAGTGACAGACTGCTTAGTGAACATGTGGCCCTGGGTACAAGCTCCAGCACCACAAGCCTAAAAGTGTCATTTTTAATTTCATATTTAATTTCTCATGCTGGGAATGTATGTAGCCTTACAGGAGCTACGGGCATTTTACAATTAGAAATACATCTTAGTCTGCCTGTCATCCTTTGGAACCTAATTTGAAATCTTTCACGCTGTACTGCCCGTCTGGTTCATCCCAGGCCCTGGCACTCTCCACCGCCCATCCTTTTGCTGTTTCATGTGTTTGTATTCTCTGTCTGGCCTCTACATCCATCTGAGCTTATAGCCTGCCATGGTCTTGCAAACAGTCCCATGCCATGTCTTCAGGATCACCAGCAGATGCCCAAGCCCCTTGTAAATGTCGCTCACTCTGTTTCCATTCTGCTATCTCAGAAGTTCCTTTCTCCCGTGTTTTTCTGCCCTACTCCCTGGAAGGATGGGGCACTGGTGGAGAGATGTTAGGCTTCTCCTTCCTCCCCCAGGTGACAGAGCAGGATGACTGTTATTCACCAAGGATCAAGGTGCTGAGAATGCTACCGAGGCAAGGCTCCTGAACCTGCTCCATGACTGACAGGCAGGCAAGGACCAGGAATGTCTTCTCACTAGACCAGAAGCTCCAAGAGGCCTGTGACTGCCTTCGTCACTGCCATCTCCAGCACCTAGGGCAATACAGGCCCCAGTTAGCACTGGGTGGAAAACCTGTTGGCCCTCCTCCATAAACCTAATCTCCAAGGCTGGCAGGAGAAGGAGATAGAATGAGGGAGACTTGCTTTTGCTTCCTCTCTTCTCCATTTGTCACTGCTCACCAATAACCCTCCCTAGCAGGTGAGATCACCCCTTCTGGGGTGAAAACACTCCTTGCTCCCCTAAGATCCTGAATGGGGGGGGGTTATTAAGAGAGCCAGTAGGTGTCCAAGGAGATGTTTTAATGTCATTTGTTAAATGTGTGGCGTGGATGATTCATGGGAACCACTCCTGGACTCTCACTACCCACCGGATATTCTAAGTTCAAGGGAACAGCCTTCACTAGCCAACCAAGGAATTCTCTGAACAAAGATAATTCTAGAAACTAGTTATATGTAACATATGATTCTTAGCGCATAATGGATTCTAAACATTCACATTCGGTGAAATGGACTAAGTCGAGTGTGAAGTGTGACACGTGAGCTGATTTTCCATTAAGGATGCAAGCAGAACTGAATGGAAAAATAGATTTATGCTAGGGAGGGGCTTCTCTCCAGGGGTGGGTGGGTAGGGAGGCAAGGTGCTCTCTCGGGAGAAACAAGTTTGTGTGTCAGGCCTCTGTGTCAAAAATCACAAATATCACATGCCAGGTTTATGAAAGGGAAAATATTAGGTATTCTCTGGAAATAGGTCTCCTTTCTTTCTTTCCTTAGTGGGATTTGACTAAGCATCCATCAGTGACTCTAAGCAGTCTGTGGTGAAGATACTGGCATATCTGAGGAATCCTCACAAAGGCTCAGAATAAGAGCTCTGAGGTCAAAGGTCTGCTCAGAATCCCGTGGCTATCGTTTACGGGTTGTGGGACCTTCAGCAAGGTTACTCTTCCTCACCTTAAGCCTGCTTGTCTTCAATATGGGGATAACAGGCAATTCAAGTGTTTATCAACAGGCTGATATAATACTGTGGTATATCCATGTAACGGAATGTCACTCACCAATAAAAATGAAGACACTAACAATGCATGAAGCAACCTGGATGATGTTGGAATCACAATGAGAAAAGCCAGGCATGCTTCTATTTACATGAACTGGGATAAAATGTATGTACTTATGCTTTCATTTAGTCTAGGACATTAAATTATTTTATCATGAATAAAAGAGCATCAATTGTTGAGGCCAGAGGCAGAGGAGGGATGTGCTGAGTGGGGGTAATGGAGCGCTGAACGGGGGTATGTTCACTGTGATAATGGTTTCACGACACACGAATGCCAGCCAGACTCAAACTGCCTACTTTCGATGGTTAAGGCTTTTTGTGCTTAAACAGACTCAGTCAAGTAGATTTAAAAACCTTTGCCACAGGGAGATGGGTGCACAAGGGTTAGGAGCTGAGTTAAGATCCTAGGAACCCAGATAACAAGCTAAGCTTGGTGTTGTGTGTGCATCCAAGACTTGAGCAAGTCAGGGCAAGGGCGACAGGCAGATCCCTGAAGCTCACTGGCCAGCCTAGTCAAAGTGATGAACTCCAGGTTCATTGAGAGACCCTATTATAAAAAATAAAGGGGAGCCAGGCGTTGATGGCGCATGCCTTTAATCCCAGCGCTCGGGAGGCAGAGGCAGGAGGATCTCTGTGAGTTTGAGGCCAGCCTGGTCTCCAGAGCGAGTGCCAGGATAGGCTCCAAAGCTACACAGAGAAACCCTGTCTCGAAAAACCAAAAAGAAAGAAAAAGGGAAAAAGTGATCTAGAAATAATATCCCTATCCCTATCAGTGTTTCACCTTTACAGGAATGTATGCACATAAACATGTACATGCGTGCACACACACACACCACTACCAAACATATACACACAACACACAACACACACACACATACACCACATACACACACCACCCATACACACACCACACACAGCTTACCATAGAGTGTGGATTGTTCTTGAGAGTCACATGACACAATATGCAAAACATAAGCCAAATGTGGTATCATATCTCTATTATCCCAGACAAGAAAATGTAAATCTCCTGGCGTGGTGGCTGATACAAAGTGAATGCTCAGTAGTAATGGCGACATTGGTGGACAACTGAGGTGTAAGAGCTGATTCTCTTGGGAGTCAGAAGGGCAGTCTCTCTGAGTCCTGCTATACTCTATCCTCTAAGCCTCAATTTCTTAGTGTGTCAAAGGGCAGGTTTGCTCAACATGGCCTAAAGAGCCCTTCCAAGCCACAGCAGCAACTCTAAAGCAGTGGCCTATGGCACCCGCACAGCCTCTGTTCCCACACATTAACACGCAGCACAGGCAGTGTTTGCCAAGCTTGGCTGTGACATTTTATAGTTATTCCTTGATATGGAGCAGTTTCCACAGTGAAGAAAGTAGGGTTTCAGAAGCCCTTTGAAGGGCCTTGGAAGGCGGCTCCAGGCAGAGTGTCGAAAAGCCTGGCACTAATCCTGTGGGCAAGCATCAGTGATCAGGAATATTGTTTTCTTGTTGTTTCCATTTGGAAGTTTCGGCCATGAGCTCTAGAAATCAGGTTTCCTGAGTTTAATGTTTCTCACATAAAGCCCACATGTCTTCATGTCCCAAACAAATCCATAAGCAACTGGAGACTGAAGTCACTAAAACATTGAGCTGCAGGGTACAGCTTGCACCTACCCACTGCTCCAGACTGCCCAGATCCTTACACTGCAGATCCTTGCACCACACCACCATCTCCTAGTTCAAGGCTTCCGTCCCCCCCAGGCCTCAGAGGTCTTCAGCCATAGGGTGTGAGGCAAGTCATCCCTAGGACTCCTGGGGAACCAAAAAAGCCTGGACCACACCCAGACAGGGAATCAAGACCTTGATGAGTGACATGAGCAGAGATGTGTAAGGTCACATAGCAGGCCCCAAAATGGTAGTCCTGCCGACAGAGTCCTAAGATGGTGGATCCAACACAGACTGGACTCTTACTGGCTAAACAGAAACCTGAACTCGGCAACCCTCAGGAATCTTATGATTTGGGTTTCTGTTTGTCAGGAAGGCCACTACTTCCCTTCAACTGACAGGGGCAAAATACACTTGGTGGTGGATAGCCAGCTTGTGAACCTCCACCCTGCTGGCTACTATATAAAATCCAGGCTTTCCCGCTGAGTTGCTGTTCTCTGATTTTGTGAGACAGTCCTCAGTTTGTCCCTCAATGAGCTCTTTTCTACCCACAGAGTGGTCTTGTTTGGGATTTCACTGCACCCACTCACAGATGCCTTAGACTAATCCATGGCTATGGGCCACCCTCAAGCCAAGGAGCGCTACAAATACAGCTCACAATGAAATTGTAAACTTACTTAAAACATTGTACTTTTTTAAAATGCAATTTTCTTCCTTCCTTCTCTCTCTCCCTCCCTCCCTCCCTCCCTCGATTGTGTGGTTCCTGAGCATGAACTTTGTAATTGACAACATTTTGTCTTATTGGCAAAAAGTTGGACACATCTTAGTGCCAGCTCCAGACAGTTCTCAAAATGAACACCTTGCCCATCAAAGATACATTACCTGCCAACAAACAGGTCAGCCTTTGAGAGGTGAACAAATAGGTCCAGGATCAACATGTTCACTCCAGAGATCCAGAGTGTCCTGTACTCATCAGTGGGGCGGCGGGGGAGGGGAGAGAGAGACAGAGACAGAGACAAGAAACACAGACACAGAGAGAGGCAGAGAGGGGGGCGGGTAGAATACCTCTTCCAGAAGGAAAATGAGTCAACGGAAACAGACTCCGAAGACACAGCAATGATGGAATTAGCAGCCCAAGTACTGAAAATGGTTACTACAGACTACTCTAGCACAGAGGACACATGGGTAAATGGAAGGTTTGTCTTAAAGAAGAACTAGGGCTGAGAAAGAGGTTCTGTGGGTAAGCATGCTTGCTCTGAAAGCATGAAGGCCTGAGTTTTGAATAGCCAACAAATGCAGACAGTGTGTACGGCTGCACTAGTGTGTAACCCTGGGAAAGCTGACTGACACACTGCCAGAGGAGTTCTGCAGGGCCAAGGAGAGTAGATGCAGCAGAGGCCCCGGCAGGAGCATTCAGCAAAGCAGATGCCTGAGCTGAGGCATCTGAGCAGATGCTGCAGCTGAGGACTCCCTAGGGGCTCCCAGGGCTCCTGGCCATGTCCTGACTTCCTCTAAGGCACTCACCTTCTCCTTCATCTGATCCAGTCAGGCTGTGCTGTCTGAGGCGGCGGCTGTCGGTGGGAAAACAGAATAGGAGAGCAGAAAATGAGTGTCAAACACAGACAGCAACAACCTAGAGTTAACAGCTGTCCTGGCTAGTTTTATGTCAACTTGACACACAAACTAGAGTCATCTGAAAGGAGGGAACCTCAGCTGAGAAAATGCCTCCATAAGATACAGCTGTAAGGCATTTTCTTACTTAGTAATCAATGGGGAAGAGACCAGCCCATCGTGCGTGATGCCATCCCTAGGCTGGTGATGGGTTCTATAAAGAAAGCAGGCTAAGCAAGCCATGAGGAGCAAGCCAGTAAGCAGCACCCCTCCATGGCCTCTGTGTCAGCTCCTGCCTCCAGGTTCCTGCCCTGCTTGAGTTCCTGTCCTGACTTCCTTCATTGATGTGGAAGTATAAGCTGAATAAGCTCTTTCTTCCTCAACTTGCTTTTGGTCATGGTTTTTCATAACAACACTAGTAACCCCGATTAAGACAATGGGTAATACATAAAAATTCTCCTTCTTCCAAAACCTTGGTCAAACCATTTCAGACAAATTGGTCTGCTGTGCATTGTTGCATAGGCTGTGCAACACACCATTCCCAAGGGCAGCAACCACAGACAGACATGAATGCTCTCTCCAACGCTGCAGGGGTGACAGCACCTGCCATTATATCTTTGTCTAGAACCCTGTCCCTTAATTTTAACTAACTTCATTTTTAAAATGTAAGTCTTAGGAGAAGGCCAGGGTCAGTAGACTATATTTCTGTCCATCTGTGTTGTTACAGCGCTAAGTTTGGGCTGGTACCTTGATACCTGGACATGTAATCCTGACAGTGAGACTATGGCATGACCCCAGTGCCATGCTCTGACTTTAGGTGAAGAGGCAGCATGCAGCAAGCTCTTAATTAACCATGCAGATCCCAGCCCCAGGCCACAGCCAGATTCCAGACCCCCTGATGTTCTTTTTGAAGACTTATTATTTTTATTTTTGCGGATAAGTGTTTTGTCTGCATGTCTGTCTGCACAGTGTGTGTGTGTGTGTGTGTGTGTGTGTGTGTGTGTGTATGCCTGGTTTCCATGGAGGTGAGATAAGGAGGCTGGAGCCCCTAGAACTGGAGTGAAAGATGGTTGTGAGCTGCCATGTGGTGCTGTAAACCCACCCTCGGTGTTCTACAAAGGCTCTTAGCCCTGTCTCTGCTTTTTCAATGCCATGATCAACACAGACCGGAGAGACAATGACAGTCAAGGCCACACTGCTGGCACAACTCACTATAGCATACACAAGAACATGGGAACTTACTCTTCCATCTCCTCAGAAAATTTCTTTCCCAATCTGAAAAGAGAGAGAGAGAGAGACAAAGTTTAAAACAACCCATGAGTGTGACACTCTGGAGTGAGGTTCAGGTAAGTGCACATCAGCATACCCCAAATGCTTTCTTTGTAGCCACTGTAAGGGTGTGTGTGTGTGTGTGTGTGTGTGTGTGTGTCAGTAACTGTGAACGTGTGCATTCATGTATGTGCACATGTGCCAGGGTGCACCCCCCCAGGAATGCATGTATTGAGTAGAGGCAGAGGTTGGATCAGATGTATCCTTGAATTACCTCCCACCTTCTGTCTGTCTGTCTGTCTGTCTGTCTGTCTGTCTGTCCGTCCATCCCCATGCCCCTCTCCCCCTTGGAGACAGAATTGGCCTGGAATCCTCTATGTAGACCAGGCTGGCCTGGAACTCAGAGAAATCCACTTGCTTTGCATTCACCTCCTGAATTCTGGGATGGAAGGCCCATACCCCCATGCCCTGCCACCATGTCTTTTGACACGGGTTTCTCTCACCGAAGTTGGTACTCACTGACTGGGCAGACGGGCTGACCAGCAATCTCTGGACCCCCCGCCCAATGCAAGGGTGACAGACATATATGACCACATTACTATTTTTATGTGGATGCTGGGGATCAGAACTCAAGTCCTCATGACTTCACAGCAGTTACTTTACTGCCTGGGCCATATTCCTAGTCCTCCGTAAGGTCTTCTTAAAGCCTTGGCTCAGTACAACTCCAAATTAGATTGTTGGGTTTGGGTGTTGGTAGAGCAGGAAGCTGAAAACTGAAATGGGTGCACAGGATGCCTCTCTCAACACCTGGCTGACACAGAGCAGCTTGCTTTTGCCAATGACTAAGGCTCTGGCTGTATCTGGTGCTCTTCTTACCAGCTGAGATACATCACAGGAGCAAAGGGAGAGTACTGGCTCTGCTTCTGAGCAAGCCCTCTTGTGTCTCATCACATGACTGGTACTGGGTAGAATCTGGACCTGTGTGGCTCCCATGCCTTTACCTAAGACAGCGGTTCTCACATGTCAGTGACTCGAGAGCCACTGGGAAGCCCATTAGACACGCAGACTGCTGGGCCTGGCATGGAGACATTTCTGAATTAGCCGATATGGGGATGGGGAACTCAGGTCTACATACTGCTGCTGCTATTTGTGGTATTATTATTATTGCTTTTATTATGTGGTATTAATAGCTGTGTTCCTGGGAACGGAAGTGAGGTCTTACACACGCTAGATAAACACTCTTCTTCTGAACTACACCCTCAATCTAGGACAACAGATTTTTAAACAAAATTCCAAGTAATTCTAACCTAAGAAAATCACCACAGATGCTCTGCGACTGGCAACTGTTGATGGTGTTTAGAGGTGGCTTTTGAGTATATGGTGGTTCCATTTTTCTATGTTTGAAAATTCCCACAATAAGCCTTGCATTTTCTTTTGAATAAATTATTTTCAGTCTGAAATCTAGCGCACAATAGGCAGAGTCCAGGCTGGTGGCAGTGTTATAATGTCTGGAAGCAGAAGGCATGACATTCTCACCTTTGTCAGTGCAGAGCCAAAAATGTCACCAGGAAGTTTCCCCAAGGCCAACTACCATGCCCGCAAGGTGAAAATAACTCCCCCAGCTACTGATCATACATTAATTTCTTATCAATTAAAAAATAAAAATATAGTCTAAGTTTAAGTAAACTGCTCTCAACTGTATTGTTTCTTTTTAATGTTTTTCATATTTATTATTTTTTTATGTGTTTGTATGCGTGTTTGCCTACATGTGTGTTTAGCCAACAAGTTCATGCCTGGTGTTCACAGAAGGCAGAAAAGAATGTTGGATTCCCTGGAACTGGAGTTACAGTCAGGTGTGAGCTACCATGTAGGTGCTGGGAATTGAACTTGGGTCTTCTGGAAGAGTAGCCATTGCTCTTACTTACTGAACCATTTCTCCAGCACCCTACACTGCTTTGCTGTTGTTTTTAATTTATTTTAGTTTCACATGTATGAGTGTTTTTAATGCACAAATGTATGTATGGTATGTGTGTGTGCCTGAAGAGGACATCTGATTCTCTGGAACTGGAGTTAGATGGTTGTAAGCTGCCATGTGAGTGTTGGGAACTAAAAAAACCCAGGCCCCTTGCAAAAGCAGTGATTGTTCTTAACCACTGAACCAGCTCTCCAGCCCCACCCACTTCCAGAACTGTTTTTAAAAGTCAGAAAATGATGGGTGAGGTGGAGAAAGAGAAAGGAACAGGCAGGTAAAGCTGGAAGAAAAGGGAGAGCTACTCACAAATTTGGATACTGAATGTTCCTAAAGCCTCCCATGCCATAGGCCTAGTCCCCAAAGCCTTGATCCCCATAGGCCTGATCCCCAGACTGCAGTGCTATTATGAAGTGGTGGATTCTTTGGGAGGCGGGGCCTGGTGGAAGGAAGTTAAGTTGCTGGGTTGTGCTCCTGAAAGGGATACTGAGACCCTATTTCATTCTTCACTCTTTCTTTTTACCTCCCGGGCACTAGGAGGTGAAAAATTCCTCCTACCATATGTTCCTACCACAATGAACTGTGTCACTATGGGCCCACAAGAACAGGGCCCCACAATTATGTATATAAACCTCTGAAACCATGCTACAAATGAGACCTTTCTTACCGTTTAAGACAATCACCTTGGGGATTCTGCCTTAGCCACAGAATACTGACTAAACACAGTCTCAGTATAGTAGTTGACTCAGTGGGTACATTTAGAAGGTTGAGTAATTAGGGTCCAAAAGTGAAAGACAAAGTGTCATGGCGTTGGGCGTCCAAGGTCAACTGCATACCTCCATGGGCTGCTCAACCAAAGGACTTCCAAGGACTGTTCCAAGACAAAGAACTGCTCAGAAAGTTGCCAAGGCCACTTTCTGTCGGGGAGGATGGAAGGCTCTTGTTCCCTTAGACGGCTGCTTCTAATTCTCCTCTGAAGCTGAACTTTGTCACCTCACTGTCCAGATGACCCAGCCAGCATGTCACCAACATGGCAGGATGAGAACAGGTCATGGAGAAATTAGATCAGAGATGCAGGGAGACGAGGCCCGTGTCCTCGCTTTGTGTACAGGATGTATTTATCTCTGATCACCCTCAGGAGTAGCAGCCACCCTGAGGTTAACAGCACATGGTTCCTACTGTGATGTACTGCACTACCACAGGCCCAAGCGAGGCTGGAAGAACAGGACAACCTGCGTTAGGCTCTGCATCACCCCCAAGGGCACTCACCCTAAAGGCATGGTTGTTCTTGTGGCGCTATTGTAATTTCTACTGTGCCATGGTGAAAGCAGGGGGAGTTCTGCCGAGAGGAGACAATGATGACAGTGGTAATGTCTTGGGGAGGCTGATTAATGTCCATTTATCCATTCAGTATCCAAAAAGCTAGGGAGTTTAAGATTCAACTCAGCCAGGTGGTGGTGGTGCATGCCTTTAATCCTAGCACTCGGGAGGCAGAGGCAGGCGGATCTCTGTGAGTTTGAGACCAGCCTGGTCTACAAGAGCTAGTTCCAGGACAGCCTCCAAAGCCACAGAGAAACCCTGTCTCAAAAACAAAACAAAACAAAGATTCAACTCAACTGCTATGAAGCCCACATTCTGTTCTCTCTCCCTCTAGGGGGAGCCTGAGGACATTCTCCACCATCTCCTTTCTCCAAGAGAGAAAGGAGACAAATCAGAAGATGCCCAGGGGAAGGATGCACTCAGGTCTCTTTTCCTTCTCTCCCTCCCCAGGGCATAAGTAACAGGCTCTGGACCACCCCTGCTTGAGAGATGAGAACTTCCGTGCTAGAGTCCCGCCTTTGCTCTGGCTCACATCGATGGATAACTGCCATGTCTGGGTTTTACCTAGAGCAGCAGTTTTCAACCTGTGAGTCAAGAATCTTTTGGGGGTTGAATAACCCTTTCATAGGGGTCACCCAAGACCATCCGAAAACAGATATTTACACTATGATTCCTAACAGTAGCAAAATTATAGTCATGAAGTGGCAATGAAAATAATTTTGTGGTTGGGGGTTACTACAACATGAGGAACTGCATTAAAAGGTCACACCAGTAGGAAGGTTGAGGACCACTGGTCTAGAGTGTAGGTGAATTTGGTTTGGACCACACTGCCGTTTATTATTTTGACAAATGCTCATCTTTCTGGATTACTGCAATAAAAAGCCTGGTAACAACACAGTCTTTGGGACAGAAGCCTGACTGTCAGCTACCCTGGGCTCCCTCCTACAAGGCCAGGAGTAATTCTGAATCCCTGAGTCTATGGTTTTCTTAGAAGAGCCAGGGGACAGTAGGATATCCTACAGTCATGTGGACATCAGTGTGTGAGCCCAAGGCGGCCTAGGTGGGAAGTACCTTCTAGACCTGGTGTATGCTTCTCTATAGAAAGATAATTGTGCACATGTGTGTGCCCCGGAGAGCCACTATGAAGTACTGCTCTGCCTCACCCCAAAGGCATCTTGGGTGGCACCGTGCCACACACACAACGGTTTACAGTATTTTCCAAAGATATCAGTGTCTATGTCACGGTGCTACGGCAGGTATCTGCAGTAACCACTGACACTCAGGGACACCAGGTACTGTGGCCACGGGCCTCACCCTTGTCACAGAGCTAGCTAGTGATGAGCCTGACACTAGACTTTGCTTCCCTGACTTTCACCCTAGATGCAGACACACTGCCCCCATTGCCATGTCAGCATTCCCAGGACACCCACACAGCTGTCTGGATTCCTGTGCACACAGTCCTTCTAACTCACCTATCCACACCAGGAATTGAAAGCTGTACATAATCCTGCAAACAGGCTGCTCTTAACCACAGAACACAATAGAATCACATGCAAAACCCTTTTAATGGAGACGAACTAGCCCCCTCCCACCCCGTCCAAGTATTAATTTGTACAAAGAGGTCCCAGTCACGGTTATAAGAGCCATATCCCTAACTGTATTCCAGATGTGAGGCAGACGCCACAGCTGTTGAGCAGCAAAACAGATACCTCTTTTT